ACTGTTCTACGTGAATGGCTTACACCATCCACGTATCACCGCCCTGATATAGAATGAATCTTGATTAAGCGGCAGGAACTCGCTCGAGAAAAAGCCGATTTGGATCTTGCTCATCACGTATCATCGTTCACGCCTATACGTTTGACGCCGATGTCGTTAATGTCGATATATACGAAGTTGGTCTTAGCAGTAGCTATGACGCTGCTGTTATGTCAGACAATAATGACGATACTGCAAGCTCAGCATCACAATGATCATGCCAGCGAGAACGGATACACCCTCGCTGAAGAGGAGAATTACCTCCTATCAGTGCGCACAAAGCGCACTGAAAGACACAACAACGAGTCAATAGAGAACGTTCTGTGGACTCGAGAAGCGGTTGTCCGTTTCGCTCAGGACTCCATCGCTAACGTGGTATCCGCCAAAAACGGAACGCAGACAAGAATGAGCGAGCAAATGTTCTTCCATGTAAGGCCAAGGGAATATTACTAATGTCTACGGTAAACCAACCTATAAAGAAGTCACTTGTGGCGGCAGTAGTAAACTACTGCCGAAATACATTAGTCCCTTTCGTATATTGCACCGTAAAGGCAATGCATACACAATTTATTTGCCCTGTACATTGGGCACGCATCCTACGTTAACTGTTGGTCGTCTCGTCCGTACTGTAATCACGAGAATCTTTCAAGAACGGAGATAACCAGCAAGCTCAAGGATCCCCAACAGATTCTTTTGATCACGGAACAAACTCTAATGTTGGTCCTTTAGTAACGCAGTATCGCGACTGGACGCCATCAGCTCATCGCGCAGGGGACGACACGCTCGTTCGTTCTCAAGCTAAGTGAACGCGAAACTCGATCAGTCTTTCTTACGATCTGTACGAAGATGGCGCACGGTCGTCTGTAAGTCATGCCGACGATTGTTTTCGTGCTCCAAGTCCTCCCTCAACTCGGTTAGGACGCGTTCATGGTGCTTTAAAAATATCCTGCAGGTCATCGTCTGGGCCGGAACTTGTTTTTCTACCACCATTTGAACCACTGATGGATTCTCACGGTGGTCGACGCTTTCACTTGGGCGTATCTTAAGCGACCGCGTAACGAGAGGGGAACGGGCAAGTTGCCTTGTCCGCTAGCGAGGGTATACAGCTTCGTATGACAGATGGGAGCATCGGTCCCAGCTGATAGCTAATGTTAAGGGTCTCGTCCGACAGTACGACGACACTCATCCGGTTAATCCTCGGGCCCATCGGTAATCACGCGCTTTTGGTGTTTGTAGACTGATTGCAAGTTTGCAATCGTGTCCTGCATCTCAGTTGAGATGTGTGCCCTTCCTCAGGGCGAACTGAGAGAATAATAATCCCTTTAAGAAAAGCGCATTGCGAGTTTTCGATACAACTAGCACAATGGTAACCCCATGTATAAAAGGAATGCCTGCCTAACGTGACAATCACGCAACATACGTTGCACCGGTTTGCGTTCGCTTAAACTTGACGCGGACTGTTTAATGTTTTATAAGCCACGCTTTACGTCCAAGATTCGTAACGCTTGAGCAAACGCGTTCCACGCCGCTAAATGCGAGTTTTTATCACGCTTTTAGTACAGCTGTACCATCGATGCTTAAACAATCCACCGAGATAGAAGTCTTCTTCAGCGCCGGTTCCCCGCAATTCAGGAATATCGGGCCTCGCGAAGCTCGCTCGCATCGAATAATGGAATAGCGATGGTGTGCGCTTGTCTCGTGAGACAAGCTGTTGATGAGTTTATCGGGCAGCGCCACGGCTCAAGATCATCGCGCTTCAACGGTGACAACTTCATCGGTACCACGGGCTTCAGAGACGACGGTTCGCGCTATCGTCAGCGCGCTCGTATGAAGACACAGTTGACCGTGGTGATGAGTAATTGTACCCACCAACGTAATCATTGTCGCTGCCGAGAACACTGTGACGGGTCGCGAGTCCGATCTTTCGACATTCCTCTGATGAAGAAAGAGACGACGCAGGTGATCGCGATGTCTTTAGCCTTTCCCCGAACCAGACGCATCTGACTCGCCAGAGTACATGACCTCAACTCGGAGTCATCGTGTGCACGAGGTGTGATACTGTGCGCCTGCAGCAACAGGTGCTGAAGGTTTAGAGCGAGCAGCAGATGACGATTCGTCTGCTCGCAGAGGCTGGACGCAGCGAAAAGTGCTGTGTCTTTTGGAGCCACTCCCGCAGATACATGTTAACTATGCGATGCAAGGTCAATTATAAATGGACCTGATCAAACTATTGCTCCCGTCCTGATGATGTCCAACGGTGGCTAATTAAGTTTCGATAGTCACCAAGTGACTATCAGTTGAGTGGGGTTGATGTAACGGGATATCCCGTCACATGAAATTGTCATCACGAAGAAAATGGCAATGAAGAATATTACGTTGGAGATTCTTTTAACAATATCAATAAGTATAGTGATATCGTTGGGATGACTGAAGGATCTACTCATTGGTTGATATTATGATCATATTAACCCACCAATCGCTGCTAGACGCGCGCAATGGGAGGTGAGTAGACGTCATCATGCGTTTAGTTATACAAAGATGAAAAAGTCAGTACAACAGCTGAAAAACAAGAGTTATAAGACTTAATTGTATCAAATACTGTTCAAAGCATTTTTCCTACAAGTAGAGCCCGTTTAAGTTGTTCATCCTCCCTCTGCGTGGTAGTGCTTTTCTACACTGGAGAGCACTTATATTCACTGTTGTCAGTAAAAGAGGACTTGCACTGGCAGACCAGTACGTAGCTGAAGTCGGTGTGCCCCCCACATACCCACTGCTGCGCGGTACGAGACGGAAAGGCCATAATGGACGAGCTTTTTCGCCTGACAATGGACTCGCACATGATTTTTGTGCACGATTGGGAGAGAAGATCATCGCGTTTTGGAAATCGATCGAGAATCTGGAACGCCATCATTTCGATTTCCCTAAAGTCTACTGAGCATTTGACGGATACCGTGGGTGTGGATGACCTGCATCAGAATTATCGATAAAATATGGGAAATGGAAGTATTAGGGGTTCTTATAGGGGGATGTACCGGATAATGAGAGGGAAACCATACGCAAGACTGTGTGCTGACAATAAAAGAGGCCTCTAATACGGAGGGGCTGTGGGGGGGGGGGGGGGGGGGGGGGGGGGGGGGGGGGGGGGGGGGGGGGGGGGGGGGGGGGGGGGGGGGGGGGGGGAATCTCTGATTAATTACGATTGTATTTACATTGGCACAAATGGTAGCAATGACTCGGAACAGGCTCACGTCGTTACAATGGCAGTCGAATGGCCGAGTGTGGTTCATGTCTACTCTCCCGCAACCGCTGGTAATCGCTGCTCCACCGATGAAAGTGGGAAAGAGGAGTGAGACAGATACAGGAACAGACGCAACAATAGTTGACAATGGAGTCCGAAACGACTGGGTCAGAAATGGTTTCGAGACGACCATTTCGCTATCGACAGCGAACAATGCACGTCAAGCACACGATCCGACTCACATGAGAGAACGAGAGCACAAGAGTAAACTGGCCGCTACACGCCCCCCCGATCTTGTCTCTGACGTGGCCTCTTACTCGCAATTCTTCGCCCGGCGTTCGCGCACAGCAGCAGCCAAATCGCGCAGCACCTCGACGGTCGTGTCCCAGCCCATGCAGGCATCGGTCACGCCCTTGCCATACACGAAGCGGTTTGCCAGGAATCAGCGACTGATTGCCCTCTTCGATATTGGACTCGAGCATGACGCCGACTATGCGGTCATCACCGGCGCGCAGTTGGTCGGCAATGTCGGCAGCTACTGCGACCTGATTCTTGTGCTTCTTTTTGCGAGTTGCCGTGCGAGCAGTCGACCATGACATTGTCCACCAGGTCGGCCTGGAGCATGCGAGCAGACGCGTCCTGCACGTGCTCTTTGCCAAAGTTGGGACCCGACTTGCCGCCGCGGAGGATCAGGTGGCACGTGTCGTTCCCAGAGGTGCTGACGATAGCGGCCAACCCCTGTGAGCTCACGCTGAGAAAGCAGTGCGAGTGCTTCGCCGCCACAACGGCATCCACCGCCAACTGCAGGTCGCCCCCCGTTCCATTCTTAAAGCCAATGGGCATGGACAGACCCGAGCACAGCTCTCGGTGCAGCTGGCACTCGGTAGTACGGGCACCAATGGCGCCCCAGCTGACCAGATCCGAGATGAACTGCGGCGACATTGTGTCGAGGAATTCGCAGCCAGCCTGTAGACCATCACGAGAGTGGTCAGTGTGAGCGGTGATTGAGGCCATTGGACGGCGAATGACAAGCGCAGACATACCGGCAGACTGAGCTCATTGATCGCAGCCAGTAGCTCCCGTGCCACCCGCAGCCCCTTGTTGATGTTGAACGATCCATCAAGGTCGGGGTCGTTGATCAGTCCCTTCCAGCCGACGGTCGTCCGTGGCTTCTCAAAGTATACGCGCATGACAATGAGCAGCTCCTTGTTCAGCTCCTTCTGAGCCCCAGTAAGCGCTTCGCTGCAGTGCAAGTGACAAGACGCGTTGACCCATCAGACTTTGCCACAGGATGATACACCTTCTTCCATCGCGACCCACTGACGTACCATAGTCCATTGCAGCGTCCGCGTCGTGGATAGAGCACGGCCCGACCACGACAATGAGACGGTCGTCGAGACGCCGCAAGACGTTGGCCAGACTCTGTCGGCTTCGCGTGATCTAAACATGAGGCAGACACAAGTGTCAGTCCAATGCCCCGAGCGCCGTCCACGACGTCATCCGCAACGGCCTCACCGTCTGCACGATCGTCGTCGTGAGTGGGATCTCCTCGCGCAGAATCGCCGGCGGAATGAGCGGCCGAATGCCCGAGATCCGCACGTCGACGATCGCGTTCTTGTCCGAGATCTTGACGTCTTCGCTGGCCGTTCCGCTCGGGATGCGCAGTCGGTGGCGTCGCTCCTGTTCCACCGCACTCTTTCCGTGTTGAGAAGCGCTGTTGGTATCTCCTTGCGACGGCAGCTGACGACCCAACATGAAGCCCACGAGCCCCACGCTGCCCGCTGTGACGATCGTCATCGTGGCGGCGAGCAGGCCGAGGCCCAGCGTCAATGACGAGGACAGAGGGACGTCGTGGCCTGTCATAGCCGTTCGTTTGCCGTCGAGCTGAGCAATGGGCGACCAGAGGCAGTTCGCTCTTCGGATAGTCGCACACGTGTGTGTGTGTGTGTGACTTTCTGTGTGGAGCTCTACGCACCAGTCATCTTCTCGCTCGCTCGCTCGGTCGGTCGGTCTCCGCTGCAACTGACTCACTGCGAGAGGTTAACTGAATACATTAGGGCGTCGCCTGTAGTCGCTGCTGCTACTTCCGCCGCAACGGCTCCTCACTACGCAATGACTTCGAACCGCTCGTCTTCACTCATCGTACTCGACGACGCACTGATGCGCACGCCGCCTTGATCGTAGCCCGCGTTCTCCATGTACACTCGACCGGTGCTCACGAAGCCAATGGCATTGAGCAGATCCGCTTGCTCGGCAATGGACCTGTCGAGCTCCTTGAAAGCAGACAGGTCCGACACGCGCGGGGCGCTGCTCGTGTCGCTGCTCATCATGTGCGAGTTGCGCTTCGTCACGTCCAGCGCCTCCTGCGCGCGCTGTGATATGTCGCGTAACCGACTCGCCATGTCGTTGTCGCGTGCGTCGTGCGACCGGTCCGATGCCGCGTACTTGGAGCTGCTCGAGCTACTGCAGGTCTCCCGCTGCCGCTCTTGCGAGCCGTGTCCGTCCTTTTGCAGTAGACTGCCGTACTTGTCCTTGTCCAAGCCGTCCGAGGATTCCATCGGGTCGGACTCCAACCGACAGCGCTGTTTCTCACGCTCTGTTCGGATCGACAAGGGACTCATTGGCACTTCGCCAGCACTCGACATTTGGATGGCGGCCGTGATATACAGCGACGCGAGGCCAGGACGCTTGCCCTTGAATGGGGCTGGCCCTTCACCCAAGTTGGCCACTATCTTGTGCAACGAGCCCGTGCTGGTTGTTCGGCAGCTGCGGTTGGGCGTCCGGCCAGCAGTCGAACCGCAATGGCCCCCCTCCTCAACGGCTGAAGCAGTGAGCGAGCCGTCGTGACACGAGAACATGGACAAGTTCGCTCGTGTGGTCGCCAGCCCTGGTCGGCCGTCCATGCCGCAATGGGCTTCGGACACGCACTTCTTGCAGAACAGCACGAGGTCCGGGCGACTCGTTGGGGTTGGCAGGTCAAAGCTTTCGCTACCGAATGCTCTCGCCCGACTTGCAACTTCGCAGTCCTTGCACATGTTTTCACCACAGGCACTGCATTGGGACCGAACGCGTACGAGACTAAACTTTTTGCTGCAAATGTAGCAGCGCTTGCGTTCTCTGTTTATACACAAACCACAAAGTGTCAGCAAACTCAATAGCAACACAACAGTACAGCAGCAGCAGCAGTGGCAGTAGCAGTAGTGAGGTGCTTACCTGGCACCCAGACGCTGGATTCGCTGCGATTTCACTTGCTGGGCCATGTACTTCGCTTCCTGAACCTTGTGCAGGTTGCAAACGATCGACGTAAACGTGTCGTGCACAAAGTTGATGAGTTTGCTGCTCGAGGAGCTACTAGTCACCCGCATCGACCCTTGCCACCACACGTCGGTCCAGCGGGACTCTGCGTTCTTCTTGAACAGCAGCACGGCCGACATTGTGCCACGCAGGAGGCCGAGCGCACTCTCCAATGACGAGCACTCCGCGACATCAACAGACTGGATGACCACGTGCCCTATCTTGGCCTGCTGACTGTCCACTGTCATGTCCATGCTCCGGAGATAGCACAGGTCCCGGTTCTTGGCAAAGAGACCCGGCGAGCGGCTCGCCATCCAGTTGAGACCCAAGTAGTGGTGTGGCCGCTCGTCCGTTCTCGTCTCGAGGGCCTTCAGGACCACAGCGTCCAGCACGCTCTCGACCAGGAACGTCGAGTTGCTGCGAAAGTCCGCCGTCGTGTCCGAGTAGAGCGCGTCGAGGCAGTGCTCGACCGGCATCTCCACGCGGCCCACGCAGCAGAACTCGAGCTGTCGGTGGCCGTCGCGGTCACGGGCGTCGCGGCGTCGACTGGCGGTGCGGATACCGGTCTCGCGAAAGTGGCGCTGCGAGTTGTGCAGTTTCCAGTCGTCCGCGCCGGTCGTGCAGCTCCCGGCGGCCGTTGCCGCAGCTTTCTGCGCAGCGTCAGCGGCCAATCGGTCCGCTTGCGCCCGGAAGAGCGCATGTTGTTCGGCAGCGCACGTGACGGGGAGGAAAAAGTCGGCGGGCAGCGGGCAGCGCGAGTGGAGATTGGACGCCACGCGCTTGAGCACCGACGACCGCAGTCGCGGGTCGCGCGACGAGGAGTCCATGTCGCGTCGACGGCGGCGGCTGAGCGCAGAGGAGATGTTGATATGCTGCCGGCTCGCGACCACCTGTTGTTTGGTCGCACATGCGCTGCTCTGTCTGAACTCGCGTAGAAACGGGCCGAGATGGATAAGTTGGCTCGACTTGGCCGGCGTGGCGGATATCCCATACAGAGAGCGAGTCGACGAGCGGTCGATCGGTCGGTCGATCGATCGAATGGAAGGCGCAAACGGAGCGCGTCGCTTTCGGACTCTATGGCCGCGAAACCGTCTGAAACGAGCAGAACATCAGACTTTTCCCACGTTGCGAGACAGCTGGTCGTGTCTGTGGTCGGTCGCTGCGACTTGGATTGACACACACACACACACACACACACACACACACACACACACATACACACACACACACACGTAGATGAGACGGACGGTGGGAAGTGCAAGTGGTGAGGAGCCCCCACAGCGCATCATTGCTCAGCAACCCGCTGTTTCCGTGCTCATTTTGGCTTTACGTGCGCGTGAATGTGTGCACGCGCCAGAGGGCGTTACTAATGGAGATATTACTTCAGATGGTTGCTCGATGAGTAATACTGGCGTTGTGGTGAATCGAGGCTTCGCGGTCGAGACTTGCTGAGCCTTGGAGGAGCCACTGCTTTGTGGTGGCACATCCAACACTTCAATTGTAGCAGCCATTAGACAACGCTTGCTTGTTTTTACCTGCACGCTTGCTGTTCGAACCTGTCGCTCACATCGTGCTCGACGCACGTGATCGATCACCAAATTCTCGACCGCGCTCAGCACAGCATAGGACGAGCTTGACAGTCTTGATACCGCTCGATCGAGTTGGCACACCGCATACAAGAGGACATCGCAGGTACACACAGCCGGCAGGAGAAAGTTGTTTGTGGTCATCGTTTGGCTCACCGAGTAGTTGCGCAATACCACTACCGTAACTCGCACTACACGTACGACAGTAGAGCCATCAGCAGCTTTGTCACATGGACACTGTAGCGAGTGGTGGACACCATAGCGCGCAACAGATGTCAGAGCATGCAGACACCACAAGAAGTGCCATTTGTTGAGCCCAGTCGTCAAGGACTATCCAGGCATACGGGGCAAGCTGCAGCTTTCTTTTTGTGCCTCACATCGGTCGTGCAAGCAACTTTCCGACATGATCACAACGAGAGCAATAGCCTTTTCACAGCGTACAGTACTCTTTTCTTGGGCAAGTTGCAATTTAAAGAGAAACGATGTTAGACTGTGGCTGGGCACAGCGAAGTGTTCAAACACTGTTTGCCACTTGCCCTACAAAAGCACACCGTGCGTCATCGTACGCATCGTCAGCCGGGATGCGTTGCCGAGATTATCGATGTGGTACTCGTATGTTCCACCAGGCACTCGCAAGGTCAGAGGTTCTCGTTCCAAGCCCACTCTACCATCTTACTTGCACTGCATCCAGAAAGGTTTCATTCGGTGCAACATTCGAACTTGAGAACCAAGCAGCTTGCTGCGAGCCTGTAATGACGGGTTCACTCGTGTAAGTCCTGCATTGACGTTTGTGCATACCTGCTGATACAACCTAAGCATAGAGGAGGAATTACACGGAAGGCCAATATGCTGTAAACGACGCCGAGACCGCGTTGGCTCTTCCAGGGGGAGCAAAATTGGAAACAGTGTGTCGCTCAAGTAAGATCAGCTCGCGATGTGTAAGAGAATTGCTTCTTTCACCACTTGTAACGCTCGTTCTCGACACAATGGCGACGGGATGACAGATACCCGTGGTGCGGCGGAACCGTTTCTCGTACCAGACGCGCACATCGGTGTGCCCAACAAGTTCTATCTCCACATAGGCGAAAGGAAGGAATGCGTCTTGGCTGACGCTTTCCACCGATTGACGGGGGAGGACAAGGCGTCTGCGTAACTTTGTGGCTTGCAAGATGCGCTCCGCGTCTGATCAGACGTACAAGGTGCTCATGGACAGTGCTCTCAATCGCAAAGTATATCTGTTCCATCCAAGATGGACGTCAAAAGCTGGTCGCATGGTGCGGACTTCACCGCTCGTCATATGATGATCAACAATGGACAAGTCGCGCTGTAGCAAGAGAGAGCAGAGGTTGCCAGTGCTCTTGTTCTTAGGTCCAGTCATTCGTCCAGTTACATCCACTGACGGCCATCTAGCGAGGCAGACGTGTCCACTTACTATCATCGAGGAGACTGGACAGTCCAGCGGACTATGCTCTGCACTTTACACGGACAGAAAGGGCTGAGCAGCTTGTGCAGTGGACATCGATGTCGCAGTCCGACCCTCGTGCATAAAATCTGCGGACGATACCCATGTTTTTCTCCCAAAAGTTCCAGGCAACCACAGATCCTACAGCAAGTCCACCACGTGGGCTACGACGACGACGACTATCCACTCACAGATCATAGGCTGCTCACGATGAGCACTGTAACATAATGCAGTACTTGACACTGAGGCACTTAACAGCTTTGCGCTGAGTACTTAACAGGACAACTTAGTGGATGGCCATCGAAACCACATGTTATTCATTTAACCGGCTATCGAACATTCGACAGGAAGGAACGTATTCAGCTGCGCACAGGCGGCTTTGCCGCAGATGAAGCAGTAAACATTGGCTCATGCTTTGTATGGAAGAGTGCAATGGACTTGTAAGGCACTTGGCTCTCTCGATCACTACGTGGAGTGGCTATCAAGCTCGTTGAGTCCACGTCCACGTCGACCTCCAGCGATGAGCCATCGCATTATCGCTGCACATTGTCAGCTTTACAACCACATAAAAAGGGAAAATGCGATCCACGAGCGTTGCCGTTGCATTGACAGTCTCAGTAGGAACGAGCTTTGGTAAGCTGTAATGGTCTCCTACACCGACGAGCGCAACATGATCGCTCATAGGTCATACATGAAGCACGTGATTATAAGCCTGTAGAACAGAGTGCAAGTGTCTCATACAAGCAACAAAATGTAAGGCCGACCACAGCGACGCCTCAAAGTTACATCGTGCTCGCCTGACCTGCGATGTGGCAAACTTGGTCCGAGCTAGTAAGAACGTGCGTCAAACAAGGCCGAGTCAAGCTACTCTTGTGAGTGACTGAAGCGTGTGGAGACTTTGTAAATCGTATCTGATTAATACTTAGTTAGCAGCATCCAGACGAGTGCCGAGCAATTCGCTTCCAGCGGTGTCTCACCCCTACTTGGTAGTCTTCGACTGCATATGCTCGTCCGTTGCTAGTCCTGCCCAATTGTCAGAAAGTTGGACAGAACAGCAATGCGCGTGATCGCATGAGCCTTTTTCGGATAAGCTAGAGCTTGGAGGAAGCGGTAGTATACAGCTAGTCGCTTCGTGGTAGGTGTATCACTCGTCTGCTTGTCTAGAGTAAGCAAACGTGAACATGTGACGCCACCGCTTATATCATCAAGCTAGTATTTCGGCCGAACGATTCTGTCGCGATCACTTCGCCGTCTCGGATCGATGTCAAACAGCATCAATGCACTTGAGGCTTAGCCTATGCACAGACGCGAAGCAAATTGAAGCTGAGCAGCCCCTGCACAGGGAATACAGGAACTTTGTGCTTGGTGTGAGTTCTATCTCTCTTCGCATCGTTTGGTACATGCCGCTCATTCGCAGAAAACTGAAAGCTCATAAGCAGCTATCGAAATGCTGTATACGATTCACATTTGGATATCTCGCCTTCATTCGTTTACGGACGTATACGTTTGTCGCATCGACCTTACTTTGCAATCGAATGTCTTTGTGGATAAAACCAAAGGTCCAGACATCCGTGCACCCCAAGGTGGATCATGGGTATGTTACCGATCGTTCGAACAATTATTTGCAACATCGTGCATTCCGATGACTATGTCTGAGCTCCTGACACTGTTTCTCATGGACGTGTCACTTCCAACGAGAGACGGTGTGGTGCTGGTGTAATGCCCATGGTGACAATCTTTGATGCGTGTATCAGTGCCGTCAAAAGGTCTTGACAGAGCTGTCAACGAGATTGTTTCCTAAGGAGCGTCCGTCGTACGCTCGGATATGCAAGTGCATGGGCAAGAGTGACATGGCCATGCAGCATTTTGCCATGTAATCGAGCAATCATGTACCAATCGACAAGCTGCAACCAGCTTTAGTAAATGTTTTGCAAGGAGTAAAAAAGTGAGAAACTGAAGTGATTTGCATGGAACATTGCGTACAACAACAATGCAAACCATTCCTGTCATTGTAAATGTTTTTCTTCTACCTCACATCAATAGCTCAGGTCTCAGGCTCACGTCAAAGCCCGCGTTCCTACGTATCTGGTTCACGTCAACAGCACACGTTTCTATCGATTGCAAAAATATGAGCAAGCAAAGAGACTCTTAACGTTTTCGATATCGAGCTTTGCATCGGTCCACATTGTTTATGTCTTATTTCTACGAGGATTGAGTCACTCGATTCAACACAGCAGCCGTCGCGTTCATTGACCTAGAAATGAAGGAGCGAGCGTCTTGAGACACTAAAGACGACCGGGATTCTGGAAATGCACATACGACACAGCCCGTGGGTACGTTTTGTGAGATACACGTGGTGTGCGATAGGTGTTGTAGAGCGAAAGGTGCTTACTTCAGCACTGGATTCAGTCGGAAGAGCGGATGACGATCAGCCACTGGAGTGAGAAGTCATGGATGACGCCACATTCGAGAGGCGCGATGTACGAATACGATCATCCCAACGAAATCCAGCTTACCATCAACAAGCAAATGTCGACAACTCCCCTCTGTACGTCCTGCACGATGTGGAGTGTTCTGGGGCGTTCCAACCCTGCTCTTGAGTCGATATCAATGCTCCCGAACAACACTCACATTCGTGTGTTGGCTTGACCCCCCGACTCTAGCAAACTGTGAATACGAGACACACGCTTGGTCTCTGCAGTGGGTCGGAACCGCGCACCTGTCGTCCGTGAACACGCAAGCTCTGGTCCGCTGCTATCGTTACTGCTCATGTCCAGTGAGTGCTCCATACAAAATTCGCGACTGCAATTCCTCCTGCCGCTCGAAACTTTTGCCTTTATACGCAGTGTTTCGGTAGGTCGATCGATTCCTCAAATTTCGCCCACTCGCAGCTCTCATCGGGCCACATGGGACTGCGTCTCGGTACGTCTTCCTGGCACACCCCACCGGTGACCCCCAATCTGCACGGCGAGTGCCGTCAACGACTCGGTGCGAACCCGTGCACTCTACGTAAGTGTAGACGACATGCTGTCTCGCTACGTGGATCCGGAGGCAGCCTGTCGCTCTCTCACCGCAAGTTCGGTTCTCTCGTATCGTAGCGCTGCCGGTGTCAGCATTCCCACCAAACTTCCTCCAGTACGCTCAGCTCGTTCGTGCTTGGCCGCAGACACGCATGACGCTCTTTTCAGCACACTCCCAGCAGTAGGTGCAGTCGAACGCTGGTCCCATTCACGTGTGCGGTTCTCAAACGCACTGCTGAACGACGTCAAACCAGAGCTCTGTACAAAACGTTCCGACGCGTGGAGGCGGCGGCGCAACGTGTTGTCTTGACCGGCTTCGTGCCAAGAGCGCTGACTGGTGTCGAGACTGTCTGTGTCTCTGCAGTGGCACCGACCACATGACACGAACGGAAGTGTCTATCGCTACATCTGCGGGGCAGCGGCCAACGCGCCACGAAAAGGAACCAAATGGTTGCGCAGGTCTCTGCCGCTACATGTGACGTGCAGTGCGCTTACGTTTTGGCAGAAACCGCATGGGGGATGCAGGCAAAAGAGAGCATGTGATCCCGTCGACATGTTGCTCTGCGGAAGGCGTGTCACGGCAGCTGGGGGCGTGTGCGACAGCAGTCGCAGGTCTCACCACTAGCGCAAGTCGAGCACCACAACAATGTCGTCGTCGGGGCGCCAATGCCCACGGGTTCATTCCAGTCGACCTGTAGCGTTCATTTCGCGTTTGTGCTTCCAGTGGTCAAGCGCTACGACACTCGTTGCAACGTTTCTCGTCCCTCGTCCCTCGTCTCTCGACTGCCGCCATGTCAAAGGTCTCGACGTTCGTGCGCAAACTCTTTCGCAAAGACGATCGCGACGATCGTGGGGTGCACCTTCGACTGCGAAGAGCTGTGGCCGCGGGCAAAGCTCGTCAAGTGGCCGTGTTGCTCGAGAAAGGGGCGTGTCCGATTTGGATGGACGACGACGCCCACAGTCGTCGACGCTTCCGTCGCCGTCACTCGGACCCGTGTCAACTCAACGCACTGCTGCTCGCCTGTCGTCTCGGCGACGTGGAGGTGCTCAGTCTGCTGCTGGACGCGTTCTTCGCAGAACCGCAAGTGCTGGCACACTTCAGCCGCGCCATGTACTGCCTCGTGATCCGCTACGGCCATTGGAACGCTTTCCAGCGACTGCAACAACGCCGCGTGCCAATGACCTCCGTGTCTTCTGCGTCGTCCATCGACTCCATTGACTCTCGCGCGTCCGACGCGTCGAGTCGACTGCTGTCTGCTGCAGCAATGGAGCACTCGAGCTCGAAGCTCCCGATGCCCGTATTCGTCGCGGCAGAACACGGCCGTCACCACATCTTGAGCTTCTTGTTGGACCGCTGCCCTCAGGACTGGGCGCACTACTCGTTCGAAGGGTATTCGCTCTTGACGGTGGCCACTATCAACGGGCACTACGAGTGCGTCCGTGTCTTGCTTGACCGTCAGGTCGCTAGTGGGAAAACCATTAACGCTGCAGTCGCTGCAGCGCGCCGCCATCGCCAGGCGCACATCCTCGTCCTGCTCACAAGCCGTCTGCCTGAGTTCACATCCGATTCGGAACCTGCGTACAAGCGCCGAGAAAATCTGCCACTCAACAACAGCCACAACAACCACAACAACCACAAGAACAACAACAACAACGTCAGTGACTTGATGGGCTACCGATTGAAGTCGTCTTGTTACGCCTCCTCACTCCTTCGAGGTCGCGCCTCAATTGCAGAGACTGTGGCAAGCGATTTCGACGATGATGGAAGACGCAGCAGTCTCCTGAGTGTCAGCTCACCTGTCAACTACAACCAGAGCTTGGACCACGTCGAGGAGATGCGCATTCGAGCGGAGATGGCGCGCGAGCAGCAGCAGATCGGTATGAAGTGGTTCTTTGATGGACGTGGACCAGCTGCAGGTGTGCCACGCCGCGTGGATCCCCACGGACTGAGTGCGGGCAGTATCCGAGTGCTCACGTCGGCGCGCGAAGGTGCTCCGAGCTCGAACGACAGCAGCTCTTCGTGCCAGGAAGACGTGTCGTGGTACGCGGTCAAGTCGAGTGACAAGAGCCTGCAGCAACTCGATGATCTATTGACGAGCGAGGAAGAGGAGGAAGAGGAGGAAGAGGAGGAGGAGGAGGAAGAGGTGGAAACGTACTACGAGTCGATGTTTCTGGTTCACGAAGATGAAGTGACCGAGACGTCCGATGAGCTGCCTCCTCTGTTCGAAGAAGCACATATGCCAGTGACAACCGCCCAGTCTTCAGGTGTGCAGCGATCCGAGAGGTCACGTAAGGTCATCAGTATCCGCAGCAGTGGGTTGCAAAACCGACTGCTGACTGCCATCGAAGAGAACTTTGCTGGAGAGACCGAAGCGTAGGTCTCGTGTAACTACTAATATGAAAGAGATGAACACGTATCGGTGTCGATAGATCTGCAACTTGCACGGCAACTGTAAACCGACAGTCACCATCGCCATCATCATCATAACGGCTGTCATGGACGTGGATAACAGCACTGCTTCGGCTCCGATGCGGTCACAGACCTTAACATACAGCTGCATGTGCCGACCAAAGTATTGCAGTCCAGTCGGAGATGTAGGTAGACGTTGAGCGTAAGTTAGCAGTCCGACTTTGCTGGTTCTGCGCTGGGGGTGAGATCAGCTTACGAGCAGATGTCAAAGCGGCGGCGGGTACAACCATTGACGCAGTCTCTGCCCTTGTACCGGAAGCAATAAGCAGGTCCGTTCGTGCTTGAGAGAGCAATGAGCTTTTGATGGCGGCGCGTGTTGTTGGCCCATCCATCAGTGTGCTATGCAGACACTGACTCGGCACTTGTCCACCAGCAGCGTATCCGACGATACTGCACCGGTAATCAGTAGACGATACTATCACCTGTTGACACTGCTCGAGCCCTTTTCGACGCTGCCTCGAACCGCAGTTGATGTCGTTGTGCATATAATTGTGGATCGACTGTCACAAGACCATCGGCGCCAATGAGACTGTTGCAGCCGTGCGTCGCGCTTGACAATAATCGACACGCTCGCTGGCTGGACACGGTAACATAATGTTGCAATCGTCAGTGGTCGGCGTGGAGGTATTTTGGCAGCGACTGATGACGGGAAGGAATCTCCAATGCAACAAGCGCAGCGCATGTGCTCATTCTGGCTTCAATGAAGTCACTGCAACTAGCCTTCGCACTACACTCCGCACCGCAATGACCTCAGTCCGTTCAAGCAAAGCTTCATGATCAGTGTTGAACCTTATTATTCATCATGCCAACCGGTTGCCTGCAGCCGGAGTCAGCGATTGACAGCGACAGAACCTGATTCCAAATAGTCTGCTCGACATGTGGAATGCGAAGAGCGCTTCTGCACGATCGATTTGGGCCCCGTCACTGTCGAGTTAGGACAAAGTCGAGCGCTCAGCTCACTGTTTGTCACAGATTCCGTTGAATCCGAGGTGCATGCCCAACTTCAGGTCCCTCATTGCAGACTTGAAGCCAATAGCTCCCATGGCGACAGTCGACAAACCGATGGTCGCTGCCAGTAGATAGACCATGATCGACTCACGCTTGTACTTCTTGATCAGGTGTGCCACCCCCTTTTGGCCGCACAAGCCACCCAAGCAGCCCATGAGCGCGAACCACGCCATGTAGTCGTACTGACGCTCGCCCGGGAACTGCCCATTGATGGCAAACTGTATCGTGGTCGACGAAGAGGTGAAGAGAATCATGAAGTTGGCAGTAGCTGACTGTACAGGGGGCAGGATACCCATCTCGAGCATGATGGGACCCTTCACCATGCCGCCTCCGATACCCAGCAGACCAGCGGCCACGCCTGCCAAGGTGCACAATATCGGGAAAACCAGAACGCGACGCTTGGTCCAGTGAATATCGCCTGGAACGAACGGGTGGTCACTGAGGACCTTGAGGCGGTTCAGTAGGCGCAACTGATGCCCCACCCAAAGCGTGATTGCAACCAAGATTGACAGCGGCAAGAATGTGACCATCCAGTAGCTCGCAGAGTTGCAAGTGACTCCGATGATGCTGGGGGCCCCGTGTCCTCCGCGCAGCATGGACTGAATCAGCACCACAAGCCATGAAATCACTAACGGGATGACGTACTTGAGCGGTAACGTTCGCATCGCTTGCCGCTCAATGGTCTTGCGCCTCATCGAAATCTGGTCGTCATCCGGGACGAAGCTGCCAAAATCCCGCTTCCCTGCTGCACCCAGCAACGATGTAGAGCTAGACAGCCCCTGGTCTGGTAGTGGTGGCAGGGATCGAAAGTCCTCTTCGTCTTCGAGCTTGATCTGGCGCAGCTTCTTGTTGCGACGGGTCTTTGCAAGCCATCGCTGGGCAGCAATCTCCACATTGAAGCGCTGTTGTAACACACATGTGCGTTAATCATAAATGCACTCCCAACATCGTTCGCAATATGAAGTAGCAACATGCACATACCCGGTAAATCGACCACTGGCGACCACGACCACCGCCGTCAGGACGACCCTTGAACACCGACTTGACAAGTGCGAGCTGCTGTTCAGTCTCTTTCTCGTGAATCTGCATGAAACAGGATAAGCGCGTCACTCGCCACGAGCATATACAAACACACAAGCAGTCGCACCTTATTCCCCTTGAGCACAGTTTTGTACGTGATGTACGAAAGCAGCGAGACAAGGAGCACCAGGATGAACCAGGCCGGGAACATCTGATTCATCATGACGCCAAAGATGGCGCCAATCAGCGTCGTGGGTTCCATGACGCCCGCCACTTGGTAGTTGATGAGCGGGTAGTCGGCGTTCACTGACGAGCAACAAGCACAGAATACACTTCGTCAGTCTCTTCGCCCCCATTCCACGTGGCGTGGTCGAACACAGTCACTTGCTCGGATGTTTCCGGTTGAAGTTGAAGATGTACGCAGACACGGCGTTGCCGAAAATGGTGGCCTTGGACAGCGGGATGGCGTGTTTGGGGCTCAGTCCGTAGAAGAAGATGTAAAAGGGCACGAGAAGCCCTCCACCGCCAACGCCACAGCCGGAGCCCAGTGCAGTGCTCACGAAAGCAATGATCGTTGCGACCACGTCCGTCCACGTGAAGGGGTCGAACAGGTCCTTGTCGATGCAGTAAGCAACTTCGACCGTCTCCCCCACGGCGTTCAACGCGAGCTGCGTCTTCATTTCGCCAGTCACTTCGTCCAGAGTCTCGAAGACGCGACAGCGCTTGATGCCGTCCGTGCTGCAGTCGTTGGCCTCAGGGCGGCAGTACTCGCACTTGCTGCAACACGTAGCAACAGCAACAACAACAGAAGTAGTAGTGGTAGTAGTAGTAGTAAAACAGGAGACACCCGGCACAAGTCAGTAGGAGACTCCGTTTTGTGGTCCAGAGACCGACCATCAGGTGTACAGTTGACCCACTTTGCGACGCAGGCCAATGCCGGCACATCGCCACAGTCGCTGCTGCGAGTGCAGTGGACCTCTGGACTGCCATAAGCGGTCGTTTCGCGGGTGGCCGCTGCGCAGATGAGGCAGACCGCTATGGCCGTACACGACGCACTGCTTCGCATTTCTCTGGTGAAAACGAAAGTGCGCCACTTCTGTTCGAGTCGTTTTCCGACGGGACCCTTTGCAAGCTGCGACTGTTCCACCACGTGAAGATGGCTACTTGTGCTACATGGCTACACTGTAATGGACGCGAAACAAGCGCATGGCTACATGTCACACGACCGAGAGATGTCGCTCGCTGCCTGTTCGTTTCGTTAGCTCTACACAGCAACGCATACCTACGAACCCATTCCTTTGCTCTCTTGGCCGTCAATGCAGAATCGGGGCGTCCAACTGCCGGGACGGGCGCTATCAACGACCGGTGAAGTAGGGCAGGACGCCTATCATGCAGCAGCGGAAGGGATCGACACAATTCGTCGCCCACGATATTGCACGAGCGACTGCGCTCCGTACGAGACAATTCCGTCGGTTGGCAGCGTCCACTTGGCCCATCTCGAAAGAGTGCAACTCCGCCATGGCGACAACAGCATAGAGACCACGCCAAGCCGACATTGATGGCTGCAAGGTGATGCCATTTCTTTTCCGTTGAGCTCCCATTGCAAGCGGCGATTTCTCTTTCCCAGCATTCAGCCGTTGTCGGACGCATCTCCTGCTCCATGGTTCGGGTCATCTCCTCGTTTGCTTGCTGTGTTTGCTCCACCCGACATTGCGTAACACCCCCCAGTAGCTTCTCAACATGTGCTGCGTGCTGAACAAAGATACTGCGGACAACACGCAGTCCTCAGGTCACACAGCATCGTTGCCAACACTTGAGGAACCCAACGGGATGTTCATGTTGACACTCGGAAGTCCATGGGTACAGTGAAGACGCGCCTCACAATCTTAACCTCTTCTGGCAACGTCGCGTACGCAAGCATCGATGATGGCACAAATACATCACCCTGTCGAAAGCTGCAGTTCTTCACGAGAGACGATGGGTTCAATCGAACGCCTTTTTGACCCGTCGACCAAGACAATTGCCATGCAAACGGGGACCACGTACCTCGGGGTGCATGTAGGCAATCGGAGACTGGTGTGCCGGGAACGTGGCCTGGAGTCGACGCATTGCACGCACGGCATCGTCGTACTATCTTTAAGATGCACGTCTTCTATATGCAGTCGCGCGGTGTAGTCGTTTTTCCAAGTAATCGTTTGTACAACCGCTCACTAGACTCTCGACCAAGCTGCGTCGCCAATACCTCTCGCAATCAGATACGTTGCGGTCGTCGCACGTACTTCAAGTCCCATCTTCATCTTTCCTTCTCTCTGTCCATCCTGACTTGGGGTCCAGACGACGCACGTGTCCGTCTTCTCTCCTACACATTCAGCGTAAACTTCACCTTCCGATCTGGTCCTGCATGCGTGTTATTGGCCAGACCCTTCCCACCACTACTCGTTTTCCGTGCTGTAGGTGTCTCGTACACAGAAGAGGAAAGAAGCTCCACAAACTCGTCTTCGCTGTCGCTCATTCCGTAGATTTCGTCCATTCGCTTCGACGTGACCTGGTTGATTTTGTGCATCAGAGGGTGGATGGACAGCTCTTGAATAAAAACAGCCCCTTGACTGGTAGCAACGCCAAGCTCCGAGTTTGCAATCGGTAAGCTAGAACCGCAGCCTTCGGGTGTTGCCATTCCTGGCAATGACCCACTGGCGATCAAAGGACTTGCCTTGAGTGTTGGCGCCACCACCTCTGTTGGACCATAATAACGTGAAGACGGAACGGGTATTCGGTCTATGACCAGTCGTCCGCCGCGGCCAATGCGCCCACGACACCTATACTTGGGTGGTTGCTGGAATATAGCTGCCATCAGCTTGGGTGGTGACAGCGGATAGGACGGGTACACTGGGCTGCTATATTGCCGCGGCGATCCGTCCGTGTCTGTTGCGTCCTCCATCACAAAATTTGCTGATGTGTCGTACTCCATGAAAGTGGGCGCAATCTGTGGTCCTTCGACAGCAGCAGCTCCTTGCCCAGACTTGATGTCGGCATCAGCTTTCATATCGGATGATGATGTACGACCTGCAAAAATGCCATTTTCGCTATCGCGATGCTTCCTTTTCTTCTTCTTCTTCTTCTTGTGACGCTCGCTCTCTCCGTCCACAGGAATTATTGGCTTACGCACCACCGCGTTCGGTCCACGATTCGTAAGTTCATGTTCTGCCTGTCGACGGATCTCATCCACGAAATTCAGCTGCAGTCTCTTTGCTCGTTCGCGACGCCGCACTAAGTCCAACAGACGCCGCACGCGTTCAAAGTCCACGCGCAGCTGCTGCAGCTTGCGAAACCCTTCCAAGTCGTTCTTGCGATGTTTACGAAGCTTATAGCGTTCCTTTTCTCGCGGTCGAAACACCGAGTGTGGGTTCGTGTCATTAAGTGGCGTCTGTGGCCAGAACCGCCGCAGCAAAGGACGACGCAGTCGTTGTCGCTTGGCTGCCCAGTACGCATACACGTCGCACGTAACGCGATTCAGCGGCGTCTTGTGCATGTTCAGTCTTCTGGCAAAGACATCCTCTGCCTCTGCCAGCGTCATGACGTTAGGATTAAGCAAGGCCGAGGCTTTTTCCAGGGCGTCAAGCATTTGGCCAAAGCGTTCTTGCGACAACTGGTAGCGTGGATCTCCATCCACTCCGTACTTGGGGTGGCGCCGGAGCCATCTCATGTCTTCCAGGTCCAAATCGACTTCAACACTTTGCGACTCAGAGTTCACGTCTTCACATCCTGTTGGATCGTCATCTCGGGGTATAGCCTGAAACCGCACGTACGACGTAGGGACTTCAAAGTCCGCCGACACCGAGTTGTCGTACGACGTCACTGGCAGAATCACAGGAATCGGAATATCCTTTTGCTTGCGCTTGGATTGGTTTCCAGCTCGCTGACGCGCTTCCAGATTCTAATAATGTTGCAGGATGGACCACGATGGTCAAATATGATATTGTCAAAACAAATATCACAATACGAACCATGAACAGCCCAAGAGAAAAAACGTGGTGCGTACCGCTACGAGCTGCCGAAACGTTACATGAGGCTGACAGGAATCACCCGTGCCATCTTCGTCTGCTTCCAGGTCTTCTTCCTGCCGGATAATGGCCATGCGCGAATGCACATCGATCTGCCGTGGCCGCAAGCTCGAGCGGCGCATGGTCCTCCAGATCCAACAAGACCAGACTTTCGGTGATATTTACAGTGCACTGATTGGCCCAAATGTGACCCGAGGCGTGTGGACCTTTGTAGCGGTGGTACTTGGCAGGACTATATTTGGTGTCCCATCCGAAGTCGATTGTGCACTTTGCCGCTAGATAGTGTGCTCATTGAGGTATCTTTCTCGAGTAAAAGCGCAATCGCAATCGATCAACAATGGAAAGACGACGACCACAATAAACAACGGCTTCTTATTGTGTGTACCGGTTGAAGCCCACCACGATATATCAAACGACTACTCGATCGACAGACGTCACTCTGCTCGAGCGGTCACTCACGTTGCCACGATAAGGGTACGCCGTCCGGATCGACGCGATAGCAGCTTCGACTTCGACTTCGACACCACATGCAAAGAGCTGCCACGCGTTGCGCCACAGCAGTGCCCTCGTGTCGTCGAGTCCAGCAAATTCGACGACAGCGCATCATTCCATCAGTCGCGATGCTGCTAATCTGGACAACGACTCAGCTGCAGCGTCTCAATGACTGTCAAGCGAGCGGGCAACAGCGTGGAGACGTCAAGGAAACGTGCGCAAGGCCCCGTTCCTGCTCGTGGAGCCTTGAGCGAGCCCCGAACGATCGTCATGGCCGTGTAACTCAACCTCGCGAATCGGACCAGCACGTCGCGTCCATTCAAATCAAACCTGTGGGATCAGCCATCTATCTCCACGATGGACGTGCGACAAATTCCGCGACTTCTGAGACAGCACTGTCGCCAACAGCATTCATCGTTTCGTGCATCGTTCTTCAGCTACGGCACATACAGCGGGTCGGAACGATCACTCGACTAGACAGGTACGCAGCTGCCATTTCGGGATCGACTGCTGCTGACTTGCGATTTCGAAACCTCCGATGCCTATCGAGTAGTGACCTGGAGCGTATGCGTCGCTCTTTTCTTGCTGCCCGTAGACGAATGGGGGACTCAGCATGACGAACATGGCTACTGGCTCGAGCCACCAGTCGAGATGAGACCGATCGACACGTACCGGAATGTGAAGAGGTCGTCGGTTTCGCCATCATGGCGACCACGGCCAATGTGCTTCACAGTTGCTGCAATGTGGATATGCCAAAGTCTCGCAAAGTCGCTTATGACTGGAATTTGCGCAGCACTGACGAGTCTACTGTTTGTAGTAACTCGTGGAACGCACTGCTGCCTAATTTGACTGCAAGGTCGTTCAATCTTTCGCAGACGGACTCCTTCAAGTCGACAGCCGATATGGAGATATCTTCTGCACGCAGTTGCTGGTGCTGGCTTCGGTGGTGAGCGAGGAAAGCACGGTAAACTCCTGATCGCGGGCCATCCTTGTCTTGATCTGCAGCAGCAGCTGTCTGTTTTTGCTTTCGTTCCTCCTCTTCCTCTTCTATTACCTCCACACAGATCTCCAGGACCTGACCAGTCTTTGCTAATAACGACTGCCCTATCTGCATGACGGTAGAGCACAATGCAAGCGCCCACACCTTTCGTCTCAGTAGCGTCAACGGCGACGTCCCCACAGTGTAAAACAACCTGAGCATTGTATCCACGAGAACGGCTACTACGTGACCGTCCACGAGTACAGTCTTCAACGTGAAGTCGAGGTCAATCACCATTAGTCTCGCTACAACGCTCAAGTACCCGGCAAGCACGGTTTCCGGCTCATGCTTCAGCTCACCTTGCTGAAAAGCAATGCATGCTCCAACCATTGCTTTCACCACCAGTACGATCCCTTCCATGTGGTCAGATGAAAGAGTTGTGACTGCAATCTCTACCACTTGGGCGATCTGCAAAGACGCTTCCGTTTTGACGTTGCCAAACAAACCCTGTAATAGCCCACACACGCTCTGATGATAAGTCTGCCAGAATTGTGTCTTGCCCAGTCGCAAGTACCGCTCGACCAAAGCCAGCACTAGTGCCACATGCTCGTAATCGCGCTCCATCAAACGCAACGCGTTTCCAAAAAGCAAATGGATCTGCTCAGTATACACCGTTGATACTTCGGCGGCTTCATTCCAGAGTTCGAGCCCGCTCTCCATCAAGAAGACTTCGTCAGGGTTCGATACATCCGTCGCAAACCAAATGACCTGCACGCACATGTTTAGGAATGTCTCCAAGCTATCATTCTCCACGTGCTCACCAGCGGGATTCGCATGTGCTTCCTTCACGATCGTGAGAAGCTTTGCCATGAGCTGGAGGATTTTCTGGCGGACCAAGTTACTCGCGTCACTTTCGTTTGCCCAAAGCGCGGGTAGGGGCGCGCTGATCTGGTGGCAAAAGCCGACGATGTGCTCACCACACGCTTGAACGATTGCCTCGAGACAACTCAGCACTTTCATCTTGCTTTCAGGCTCACTCGCTTGCGAAAAGACGGCAAATAGGCACTTCAGCGCCTGAGGCAAGAACGGAGCAAACGCATCGTGCTGAAATCCCCAGTCACCCATCATCGACTCTAGGGTCTGAACTATACGCAGCTGAAGAGCGAGGTTGGCATCCGCCTCGTGAAAGAATGCCGGCGTGTTGAGCAATGCGTCGTACAGCGGCGGTCGTACGCTTGCGGACAGCTGCGCTAGCCAGCAACTGACGAGCCATACAATGCGGAAGCGCAACACGGGCTGCCCTTGGTAGGACCCGACAGCACTGTCAGGGTTCATAAGAATTGGCACGAGATTCGTGATAAACCACGGCTCAAACTCAAAGCAATCGTGCAGGTCGTAGCAGCCTAGACCAATGGCCAAAAGTACGGCATCCATGTCAAGAATTCGTCGATCATCACGAGTGGCAGACACCCTGCCATGGCCGAGTTCCACCAGGTATGCCGAGGCAGCCGATGTCATCTGAGTCAAACACGGGATCGCTTGATCCGGAAAGCGATGCATCAGCGTCAAAAATACATTTTCAGCACATGCTCGTGCCGACTCCTTCGCCGTCAAGCTCTCGATGAACGTACAATACGCTTCTGGGTCGCCTTGCCACTCTTCCAAGTCCTTCGCGGTCAGCGTCATGTAATGCATCACCACAAGGTTCATCATCGATGCAAAGCGATTCTCCGTGTGAGTGAAAAAAGCATGCACAGCTGCTTGCGCTTCCAAAACCATAGCGTCCGTCAGCATAACGTCTCCAGTGGATGTAATGACCTTCACAATCCGCGTCGTGCACTCAGATCCGGGGAGACTGTCTTTCTTGTACAGTCGACAGCTCAGTACATTTGCAAAGAACTGTAGTGCGACAATCTGCAACTTCCGAGGCGATGGAGCCACTGTTGCAGATACCGAGGCGAAAGCAGTTGCAATGTTCCAGAACAGTCCAAGGAATGGCGGCAAATATTCGCGGAACTCAATCGGATACGAGTTCTGTACGCCCACGACAATAGCCGCAATGCGGTACATGCACTTGTCAAGGGCCAGCATCATCTCGCTAGCTTCCGTGCCAAATGTAGCATTACCTGCCTCACTATCGAGGGGAACACACGTTTGTCGAAACGTCACCAGTCTCTCGAGCTGACTGTAAAACCCGACAAGCGCTGATCGCATCAGGTCCCCATTCTGAAGCGCCATCAAGTCCCGAAACGCATTCAGCAGCATCGTTGACACGAGTTTCGTAGCCGTTAGCAGCGCACTCAGCTGCTCTCCTCCTACCGATAGGGCGGAAGCAATCGAAGCCATCTTCTGCCCACCCACGAATCCTGCCGCCTCTTTTTCGGCCCGCGCCAAGCTCTCATTCAGCTGCGTGGCCGCGGCCATCCAGTACTGCAACAGCAGCGGCAAGAGCTCGACACTGAGCAGTGCAAATTGTTTGCGGTGCTGCACGAGTCGCCGCGTTGCGAGCTCCTTCACGACGCAGTAGCACACGGCCAGTCCTCGACTCTCCCTCGACACGTCGGTCCCGCCACTCTCCCGTCTCAGAGGCTGCAACATGACTGGAAAGAGCATCTCAAACGTCCACTGACGCGGATACTCGAGGCGCACGAGCGACGCGATGAGGAGCGACAGATGCAGCGCAATCGTTGGCTGTGGCTCGTGCAGCGCTGCAAAGAGCAGCACGCGCCGCATGTGGTCGCGCTCTTGGTCCGACAGCAAATTCGTCGTCGTGTTGTCAACTTTCGTCCGCGTCTTCCACTGCGCTTTCAGGTACTGTTTGAGCCACAGAACCGCAAACAGGCGCACGTCCGCGTCCTCGGCGGCCAATTGCGCGAGATTGCGCGGCGTATGGTCGGCGTCTGGCAGTGCCACGCACATCGCGAGCACTTCAGCGAGGAAGGGAGCGGTGATGGCACAGCGTTGCAGCTGCTGCAGGTCCTTTTCGGCCGCAGAGCGCTGCGGTTCGGGCGCGCGCAGACTCTGCGTGAGCAGCTCGCGCATGCGACTGACGTCGGTGGCCATGTGGAAGCGAGAGTGAATGTTTGGGAAAGTCTAGGACAAGCTAGAGTTGTAGCTTCTGCGGCTAGCGACCGACCGCGTGGTGGATGCGGCCGAGCGTTACTTCGGACAGCATCCCGTTGACTACCGGGAAGTACGTCCGTTCGGACAGTCTGCTGGCCATTCACTTGGCTCGCCATACAAACATCAAGTCAGCAACGGCGCTCGCTGAATCCCTCCTCCTCCGCCACGGATCCAAAACTGAACAACTCGCACACAGAAGAAGCCCGCGACACTCGTCTGTTGCGCCCGCTTCTATCCGACTCCTCCCGATATCTGCGCCCCGCCGTAGATCGCCACCACCGCCAGAAGACCCCCCTCTCCCACTTTTATCCACCATGGCTGACGTCGAAGACCGCAAGCCGACGTACGTGTCGCAAACCCCTTTGCAATAGACCCAACAGATCGTGTCGTGTGGTGCTTTGTATTGGCCTCGAGCGCTCTACTGAACTGACGATTGTGTGCTTCTCGTGTTGCTGCAGTGAAAATGCCGAGGAAGGAGGCCCGGACGAGCAGGTCCAGCTCGACGAAGGCGACATTGAGACGAACTGGGACGAGGTCATTGAGACCTTTGACGGTATGGAGCTGCGTGAGGATCTGCTTCGTGGCATCTACGCCTACGGTTTCGAAAAGCCGTCGGCTATCCAGCAGCGCGCTGTGAAGCCCATTCTGTTGGGCCACGACTGCATTGCCCAGGCGCAGTCCGGTACGGGTAAGACCGCCACTTTTGCCGTGTCGATCCTGCAGAAGATCAACATCAGTCTCAAGGAGACGCAGGCGTTGATCCTCGCCCCAACCCGTGAGCTGGCCCAGCAGATCGTGAAAGTCGTGGTCGCACTTGGTGACTACATGACTGTGCAGGTGCACGCCTGCGTTGGTGGTACGGCTGTGCGCGACGACATCCGCACGCTGCAGCAGGGTGTGCACATTGTGGTGGGCACGCCTGGCCGTGTGGGCGACATGATCAACCGTCGTGCGTTGCGCACGGACGAGGTCAAGATGTTCGTGCTGGATGAGGCCGATGAGATGCTGTCTCGCGGGTTCAAGGACCAGATCTACGAGGTGTTCCGGTTTCTGCCTGAAAAGGTGCAAGTGGCGCTGTTCTCGGCGACGATGCCTCTGGACGTGCTCGAAGTGACCCACCGCTTCATGCGCGAGCCCATCCGTATCCTCGTGAAGCGCGACGAGCTGACGCTTGAAGGTATCAAGCAGTTCTTCATTGCCATTGACCGCGAGGAGTGGAAATTCGACACGCTCTGCGATCTGTACGAGACGCTCACCATCACACAGGCCATCATCTACTGCAACACGCGCCGAAAGGTCGACTGGCTCACGGAGAAGATGCAGTCGAAGGACTTCACCGTGTCGGCCATGCACGGTGACATGGAGCAACGTGAGCGTGACATCATCATGCGTGAGTTCCGCTCGGGCTCGTCGCGTGTGCTGATCACGACGGATCTGCTGGCTCGTGGTATCGACGTGCAGCAGGTGTCGCTGGTCATCAACTACGACCTGCCCACGAACCGCGAGAACTACATCCACCGTATCGGTCGCTCGGGTCGATTCGGTCGTAAGGGTGTGGCCATCAACTTTTTGACGCACAACGACGTGCGATACTTGCGTGACATTGAGCAGTTCTACAACACGCAGATCGACGAGATGCCGATGAACGTTGCGGATCTTATTTAGGAGTCCTCGTTGGCACCCGTGTCCCGTTGGTCGCAGCGAGTGTAACGGATCTGTCGCGCGCGGTGGTCGAGCTCTGGAAAATGACGGCGAACAAGGGCGAGACAATGACGCGCGGGGCAAGAGCCCATGCAGATCGCGTGGCAGGAGCTGTGGAGGGAAATGGGGGCCAGAGGCAGTCGACGAGAGTGGAAGGAGGAGACGGCGAGAGACGAACGACAGCAGCAGGTGAGTGAGCGCAGTAAAGAAGAGGAGAATAAGACGATGCAGACCGTGTGTCTTCTTGTTCGTTTGCGTCTCGAGTGATTGATGACATTGACCTGAGCGATCGTAGTGCTGTGTGCGAACGTGTTCGTCCGCTGCTCGGCAGTACCTTAGCGAATGGATGGCACCAAAGTGCGAAAAGAGCTCAAAGACAGTGTCGAGGCCCGCGTCGTTGTGGTCACGTAGCCGATGTGGTCGAGACATACAGACAGACGGAAGAACTCAGAAAGCCGATCGCAGCTGCCATGTCGAGCACGTCTGCAATCCAGTCGTCTGGACTGTCGAGACTCTGCCGCACTTAGTAGTAGCCCCGAGGGTATAGTAGTACTGTAGTAGTACTGTTGTAGTACTGGAGTAGTAGTAGTAGTAACCCTACGAGAGTCGTCGTCGTCGTCGTAGCAGCCCTCGAGTAGCAAGTAATCTTATACCAGTTGTGTATCACGCTGAGTTCTGCGACATGTGCCTCCCCATTCCGCTGCAACGATTTGTGCTGCGATCGCACTTAAGCGCGACCCGCCGAGCGCCGGCCAGTTGTTCTTCCCCACATCGCGTTTTCCCTCCTCCTGCTCCTCGTCGTCGCCGTCCGCGTCCAGCAGTTCCTTCGCCTTTGCGTGTCCTCTCGCTCGTCCTCGTGACCCGCAGCGTCTGTGCACGTCCGTCCGTCCGTCCGTCCGTCCGTACGTACGTATATAGTGACGCAGTGACGTCGCGACCATGAGCGACCCCGTGCCCAAGCAACCGGACGAGGGCAGCGTCAACCTGTACGAGATCTTGGGCGTCGAGAAGATGGCGAGCGAGCTCGAGATCAAGACGGCGTACCGGAAGTTGGCGCTCAAGTACCATCCGGACCGCAACGCGGGCTCAATGGAAGCGGCCGACAAGTTCAAGCAGGCCAGCGCTGCGTACGCCGTGCTGAGCGACCCGAACAAGCGCCGGCAGTACGACGTGGCGGGCGAGAGCGGCAAGGACCTGGCGTTCGAGAGCGTGGACGTGGAGTCCATGGGCGGCTTTGGCCGCGTCGTGGGCGCGCTGTTCACGAAGATCGGCATGCCCATCCCCACGCAGATCTCGCAGACGGTGCTGGCTGCTGCGCGGGACCTCTGCGACGAGCGCAACAACTCGACGCAACTGCCGCTGGTCACGCAGATGGTCTTTGGCATGGAACGCCACGCGAAAGTGGACAAGCAGGACGCGCACTTTTACAAGCTCCACGTGGACCGAGACAGGGAGTCGGTGGTCTTTATGTGCCGCTCGGCGAGCAAGAGCAAGTTCAAGCTCGTGCTCTTTGACCAGCACGGCGCTGTGCGGATGGTGCAGGAGTCGAGCAAGAAGTCGCGCTGCACCGCTGCCGACATGTACCTGTCGAGCAACGTCGAGCTCATGGACTTGAACCCGGAGCTGTGGCCCGGCGCCACTGCTGACTCGGAGCTGCCGGAGATCTTTAGCAAATTGACGATGTTTGAAGTGCGACGCACAGTGCCGCTGGAAAAGGGCGAGCACTTGTTTTGCGTCTACGGGGACAACTGGCTGTCGGCGGTCAAGTACTCGATCAAGTGTCTGAAGATTGACGAGCAGTCGCCAGCGCTGCGCACCATCCAACAGACGGAGAGTGAACTCGTGGGGATCAAACATGACCTCGATGCACTGCAGCGGGAGTACGTGGCTGCCAAGGCGGCGTTTGAGAAAGTCTGCGCTCGTGTGGAAGCTAAGCAGCTCCGCACGGAGGAGCTGCTGCATGACCGCGAGCAGTCGTACGAGGCGTTTCTGGCCGGTTGCGACCCGAACCATGCGGCAGGCGTGTTTGACGAAGGCAGAGGCTCCAACACGTCGCAGAACGGCCACAAGGGAGGACCGCTGAACGAGGCTGCGAGCCCCGCGGGCGGTATCCGCAATATCTTCGGTGGTTTGCAGAACCGCTTCTTTGCAGGGAAGGAGCGCACCGGCTCGATGGACACTGCTGGCAACGCATCCTCGTTCAATGCTTCATGATCGATCGATGCAAGGGTAGTGCCAAATCGATGCAGTGCAACAAGCTGAAGCAGAGTCTTCAGTTGGAATCCCCATTTCCGATTACGAAAAAAGTGAAGCTAAGCCGAGAGAGCACGTCGAGCGCCACGACGCGAACTGATTGACATAGGTTAGAATATAGTAGTTAATGCTGGCTAGGTCTCGTTGCTTCAGTTCCCACAAAGTAAAAACACCGCTTCGCTCACAGCTTGATACAGTTTAATAGTCGTCTAGCAGTCGCTGGCGCTTGGGATCGGTAGGATCGTCGAGCTTCTTTGCCATGCAATAGGCATGTGCAATCCACGGCACGAACGCTGCAGCAAACAAAAGCTGGCCGACGAAAAAGGCCGTGCCAAACATGGGCAGCTCGACTGCAAGAGCGTTGTAAAACCGCGCCAGCTGCGTCATGCGGCAATGATCCGGCTGACCACCAGACTTGGCTGCAGCTGCAGCAGCATTGGCCGCCTCTTCCAGGCTACAGGGAACAACGCGACCCGACGCATCCACAAACGTTTGGTGACCAAAGGTGGCGTACTGGGGCGCCAACGTGAGCAGCGCGAAGAGCCCCACCATGGCGAGCTGCATGAGCACGAGCGACAGAATGGTCATTGTAGCGGCAGACGTCAGTCGCGGCTGCAATCGTCCCAGTCGGAAGCACAGAAACTGCAAGCCGTGGCGCTTGAGCACCACCAACGAAACTGCGAACAAGTACACGAACAGCACTGCAAAGACCACGTAGTCCAACGGGAACACGCGCGATGCGATCACCAACAGCAGATCCATCGGGTTCGGAAACTTCGGTGCGTTCAGGAGAAAGCCACGGGCAAAGCTCGAATGCGCCATCTTGTCGACGCTCGTGCTGAGCATCGACGTGACAATCAGCAGCGACAGGAGCATCAACACGACACCGACCGGTATCTTCCAGCACGTCAATTTCCCCGTCAGCGCGAAACGCTGCAGGTTTTCACGCAGCACGTCTCGACGTTCTTCAAGAAGCTGTGCCCGCG